CCAGAACAGTATATGGGCCATTCCAAGACATGAGTAATTTGTTACTGTTATCAGGGAGGAGTACAAGAACTTCCTCACCTGGACTAAACTTCCTATCCTGAGATTTTAAGTCAAAATAAGATTTGAATTTGGAGGAACTAATCTCAGCATTTTGAGCTGCAATTTTGGCACACTCTTCCAACTTATCTTTTAATTCGATGACATATTGAAAAGATCTGATCCTCCTTAATGGCTGTGTCTTTCCACAAGTCCCTTAAAACTGAAAGAGGCCCCCAGACTGTTCGTCCATAAAGTAGCTCGAAAGCTGAAAACCCAGTTCGATCGCTAGGAATCTCAGACGTAGCAAACAATGTGGGGACGGGATATCTGTGCCATTCTCGTGGTTTATCGCTACACAATTTCCTTAGAGAGGCTTTTAGAGTTGCATGAAACCTTTCCACCCTTCCATTCTCATTAGGGTGATAGGGAGTAGTAAAAAAGTGGCTTGACTCCCAATAATTTGTGTAATTCTCCCATTAGTTGGGAAACAAATTGTCTTCCTCTATCAGACAAAATTTCCCGAGGTATACCAACCCTTGAAAAGATCACCAGAAGGGCTTCGGCTACAGATATAGAATCAATCTTTTTAAGGAGGTAATGCTTCTGGAAAACCAGTTGCAAAATCGATCAAGGTTAAGATATAATGGTGACCCTCAGAAGATGGAGGAGAAAAAGGACCTACCAAGTCAATGGAAACACTAGATGGCTCTGCCTTACCCGATTTCATTTGGCGGGAAAATTTATTTTTTATTAGTGCTATGAATACCGATGGCTATTCTTATTATAATCATCATAATTACTATAATGTTATAAACATTAGTAACAGCAAAATAAGATAACGTAAAATATTTTCGTAAATTAAAGAAAAGGGTAAACGGGCGAGACAGGCAGTACAAGTACAAGTGTAGCCATCTATGAGTAAAAATAATCAAACAAGTAAACTCACAGTGGGCATGTCACATATACGTGACACCCGGCGCGAATGGGTTAATGGTACTGGTCTTACTCTACCCTTTGTCGACATCCTCTGACACTTATCACAAGACTTACAGAAATCCCTGATTTCAGCTCCCATGTTTGGCCAATAGAAATGGTCCTTAATACGCATTTCTAATTTCCGATGAGAGAAATGACCGGCCAAGGGACTCATGTCCTACTGAGAGAATGATAGCTCTACATTCACTGGGTACTACTAGGTACTACACAAGTACGGTGAGACAGATCATTTCTTTTCTCATACTTAAACTCTGTGCCATCTCGCATTTTATCAAGTTCTTCAGACTTCAATTTTATCCAAAATTGGGTCAGAGAATGACATTCTGCCTGCAATTTTGCAAATTCCTTAGAGGTAACTTTGAGGGGTTCAATCTCTGGTAAGACTAAAGGGTGAACCCTTTTAACTTTAGAGGATCTAGTTTGAATTGCACAGGAATAATAAAGAGTGGTATTATTTGAATGTCGAGTTACATTTAAGTCAGAGATATTTGGGAGTATATGCCCCTGGTACATTCCCAACCAAAATACTGAAAAATTCAGTAGGTACCCAACCTTCAAAGTATGGGCACTTCAAAAAGCATTTAATTTTGGGGAAATAATCCACCTGGCCCAGATAATTTATCCCCACCAGATCAGCACTACAAACATCAACATCAAACACAAGTGCACGCCGTATCTCTGAGAATAGTGAAGGTCCAAACCCCATTCAAGGTACCAGCTATCATAAACTTTGAATTTCCTGTCACAGACTAAATCCAACTTTATGAGTTGGAACTGCGAAATAATGTTTGTAAGCCAAGGGATTTTTAGGACAGCAAGATCTTATGTCCTATGTAACCACACCCATGACACTTCACAGATGAAAAATCCCTCTTCATAGCTGATTGAACTGGAGTTGGAAGCTTTGAAGCCACCCTTCTCTTACCTTGGTTGGAGGACTGATATGACTTGGGGTATGCGCTGTGAGCAGAGGCCCAATTATCCGACAGACTTACTGCTTTAGGTAAAGAGGAGACGTTGTGTTCTATCACATATACCCGCAGATCTGGGGGGAAATGGAAGACATTAGTTGGTCCAGCAACAAAGTCACGAAGAGAGGCATAATCTTTAGTGATGTCGCACGCATCCACCCAATAGTCAAATAATCGACCAAGTCTCTCAAATTGCTCATAGGTTTCTCCACATTTTATCTTAGCAGATCTAAAATCATTCATGTAACTTGCTGGAGTTTTACTATAACCCCGTAAGAGCTGATAATCCGATGTAACTTCTGGAGGCAACGAGGTGTACATATCAACTGCCTTTCCTGTCAACAAACTTCCTAGTCTAATAGGAAATTTAACAAGCTGGCAATGAGCTCAGACTTGATTAAGTATGAGATTATATCTTCCCCATCTTAAAAAACTGATAAACTAGGGCATGAGGCGCCTTCAAAAAGTGCTGTAGTGAATGAACTGGCTGAAGAATTGTTTAAACGAGCCATCTGAAATTCATGTTCAAATTTAACCCTTTCTTTCTCTGCTTCTAATTGTTCCTTCTGAAATGCTCTTTCTTTTGCTCTCTCCTCTCATGCAAGTGTCTGTTGACTAATATCATTTCCTTGAAGGCCTAATGCCTCAGCCTGAGCTTTTAACACCTCAACAGTAAGATCTGACATTATTATTCTAAGGTCAAGAATGTCAAGTTATAAAAAAAAAAATTGATCAATATGTAGTACAAGGTAGTGGCAGTGTTGAGTAATAAAACCTACATGAAATGATAGAGCAATACAAACCAAGACAAAGTTCTTCTATGGCAATGTGTGTGCAAATGCTTCCCAAGGGTGCTATACATTAAAAAAAAAGGAAGATGGGTTACTTTCGAAACAATTTTGATATCTTTCTGCATGAAATCCACTGCTTTCAACGATTCTAGGCATTGTTCCTTGTGCAAATGGGCGACCTAACCTTACACCGTGGTATATATTCCCTAGGAAGGGGGCTCTGCCCCCCTGGACCCCCATGGGAATATACATGCCTAGCCAGGGGATTATGCCCCCTAGACCCCCATGGTGGTAAATGCGTCTAGAATTCACCCTCGCAAGGTAAATAAGATGAGTGACAACCAAAATTGGGAATCTTTCTTTTACGTATAGCACCTTTGAGAAGCATTTGCGCACACATTGCCATAGAAGAACTGTCTTGGTTTGTATTATTCTATCATTTCATGTAGGTTTTATTACCCAACTCTACCACTACCTTGTACTACATTGTCCAAAATCTTTACTGGTGACCGACCAACTTGTACAATGAATGTTTGAAAAAACAATTAGAGGAGCCTTTGCTCGCACCAAGCAAAGCAAAAGTGGTCTCTACAGACCGAACTCACCGACATGACGTCAATACCAGGACAATCAAGAGAATACTCTTTCTTTTCACCTCCGGGCCCCTCAAGGACGGCAAACCATGAAGGGGAAACCTTCCCGCAACAATCACAATAAAACCACCTTCACGTACTGCCTCACAGCACTGAAAGTATGACTTAATAAAGAAGAGGTCTATGTTCTATCGAAAACTTGTTCCATAAAACGAGTAAATCCTTGACTCCTGGCAAGATCGCCACATGTAAATACCAGGATCTTTATTTCATACAAGATTTGCTAATTTTGAGGAAAGAAGTAAACATTCAGAATACACACAAAAAAAAAGTTTATTCACAATAGATATAGATATAGATATACATGAAAGTTCACAATTTTCAAGTCACTTTTATGCATTATCAAATAAAAAATAAGACACTGTTCTTTTCCACTCATAGCCACTAATTTCTTGATCGAGGCATGATCTTGAAGCGGCCACGTGGATTTGGATGGTCACTTTGCATATAAGAAGCCTCCGTGCCTTCCCTTGGCACGAGTAGGTTCTGCAACATGTCTGGCAAAGGTATAATATTGTTCATATACATTGCACTATCAAGAACAGATTCCTCACAAGAAAAAAAAAAAAAAACTAGGATGGGGAGAGAACCTCACCTTACGACTATGGTCGAGTTGAGTGAGGACCCCCAGTACCCACTACCCTACAACCAGGCTCAGGATCGAACCTGGATTCGAATCTGGATTCGACCACCGAATCCATATCGAACCGCCACGTATGCAGGCGAAACAGGTTTAATAATGGATAAGGCAAATAATAACCGCATCTCTTCACATTTGTTTTTGGTTGAATATCAAAACATTTTACGTGATGGTACTACAATGGTAAAAAAATAAATAGATAAATAAATAAACAAAAGTATATTGTGGATATACAGCACCTGAAGGTTTTGTATTTTATGCATGTTTGATTTCTTAAAATTAGTCTGGATTTATCTTATTGATATGTATCTTCCTACCTTTTTACGGTTTTTATTTGATCTCTTATAAATATTCTTCCATTTTCTGTTTATATAGATAATCTCCTTTAGCTACGAAAATAAATATTGCATACACCAATGGCAAAGACAAGGATCGGCTGGCAAGAAAATCAGCACGCCACTCCATAGCCATATTTAATTATTATTATTATACATTTTTCTTTATTTTGCAAGTAGAACAAGTAAATAAACCATTACTTTAAACAGAAATAGACGACCATAACAGACCTTTTTAAGTGTTGCTTATAACAGATAACAATGTCGTACTAAAGTCAAGCTGAACTCGTTTCCTATGTATTCCTGCGTCGGGTCAACATGCTAGGCAAGTGAAACAAAGGCTTCAATTATCTGTTTTGCGTACTAACGTTAACATGCAGTGGTAACCGTCTGAGTTCGTTATAAGCCAGATTTTCGTGTATCATTACCAGAGTGGAAACAGATGTTGCCGAAAATCTAATGCTTTGAAAGAGAAAATTTATTGAAACTGGTAAGAACTCAATTACAGGAAACACAAACAAGACCCTGCAAAAAACAGATCAGTTTATGTAGATTTGCGGTTAATAATATTCTCTTTTCCAAATTATATTTATTCTCTCCTATCTCTTTCACCAATCTAAAACAAATGACATCATGCTTATTAGGTTGTTTCATATCACCTTGATGTAGGTAAATTGATGTAATAATCATGGGTGTCTATCCCATGCCCATATTTATCTATATTCCTATTTTGCGTTTCAAGGACAAAATTCTGTGTCATGAATCTGCAGTATCATTATTAACTCTAATAGTTAATATCCTTATGGTCATCATATTTATCATGACAATAGTTACCTTACATTTAGTGTGATACAATATAAACCTATGCTATTACAATTCTTAATTATACGTCTACATATATATATAGTACATAGCCGGCATGTAGATATATCTGTGCAACATAGACATTTACATATGGGGGATTAAGAACCACGTAATCATATAACATTATATGAACACAAATACAGTAACGTGTACAAAGCTGCACAGTAATGATGTAAACCCTAAACCTTGACGCTTCAAGTAGGTCGAGAATCCTCTTCAGGGATCATATCCTTATTACTGCTTTACTTCATTAGATTACACGCTAAATACTTATAAATCAGCAAACAATAGAAGAACGGTACAGTTTCTTTTTCAGCGAGATATGGTCTTAATATATATTTCTTATTGAGGAATTCTACACAAAAGTATAAAAAATGGAACACCTGTAGTCCTTATTTGATTTTAAAAAGATCAAATCGTTTTGTGTACTCATAAAGCAAGATAACTAAATATTGCCGTTATATGCACAATCATAAAAATTAATACAAGACAAACATCACTTTCTCTATACATGAAAGAGCCAAAACAGTATACAGGATCCATGTCTGGATCGAAATATGGAATAAATCATTGGTATTATCAATCTACTAAAATTTCCCAGAGAACCTATTAACCTCTCAGCCACTTATTAATCACTACCTGCCATATACAGACTCTCTGACCTAGTTCGCTGAGCAAATGAACAAATATTCACGTCATAAGAAGGTTCTATATTCAATAAACTTGATCAGACTACTAACTATTCAATGCTTCTCTCTGCAAGTAAAACATATGGATGATAGTTGTGTGCGTGTGCGTACGCGTGTGTCTTTTTGTGCCTTCTTCTGTGAATACATGCATATGCATATGCAATGTCTCAGTACACTATAAGAAAGAGCATTGGTATTAAAAACCAGAGAAAAAAAGAGAAAACAAAAGCAGTCCCGTGGTTCCCCTCATCGTCTCTCCGTCATGGTGAACCTCAGGGGCTTATCTGGCATCATGAGCATACTAAATGTCGGGTTCAAAGGGTCATAGCGCCAATCCAGTCGGTACTTGTGGAACATCTGGGAAGAAGAAGAAAAAAATCGGGATAAAATAAAGGGAAATTCGGATGTACTATGTTTTATGAGATAATCCAATTTTGTCCGTGTTTGTTTGTGTTTATACGGTTTATCTCCGATGGGAAAAAAATGAATGTTTATAAAAGAAAAGTGAAGTAGAAAGAAAAGTCAACCATGATTCACAACAGTATACAGGTTCCATGTTTGGATCGAAATATGGAATAAATCATTGGTACACAAAAACTCACCCGAGCCAACAATATATAAACCTCCTGCTCGGCGAACCTCCTCCCGACGCAGTTTCTGACTCCTGCTCCAAAGGGCAAGGAGGCGTAAGGATGGACGGGGTTCGAGGCCGACTCCCTCAGCCACCGCTCGGGGAGGAACTGGGTCGCCCTCGGGAAAAAGTCCTCGCTAATGCTCGACGCTCGGGTGTAGAGTTGCATGTTGGTCTGGCAGGGAAAGAGGAGGAAGAGGTGATGATGGTGATGATGTGGTGGTGATGTACGTGAATAATAAGGGAGAGAGGACGAGAGGGTGGGGGGCGGGGGAGAGGAGGAGAGTACCCTTGTCTGTCTGTTTCCTCGTCTCTGTTTTCTCCTCCCTTTCTTTTTCCCTGTCCCTACTCTCACCCTCTGTCTCTGTCTGTCTGTCTGTCTGTCTCTTTTGCGCCCTTCCTCCCTTCCTTATGCTCACCATCCCTCTCTCTCTTTCCCTAACTCCCCACTTATTTACCAGCCTCCCTCCCATTCTCTTTCCCTCCCTCCACTCTCTTTCTCTTTCTTCAACCTCCCTCTTTCTTTCCTCCTTCCCTCCCCCCTCTCCTTCTTTCTTTTCTCTCTCCGCTCTCCCTCTCCTTCCTTCCCTCCCTCCCCTTTCTCCCTTCATCCCTGTTCGCTTTCCCTCCAAACCACTCACCCCTTTTGGCACCAGGAAGCCGCGCAGTACCATGTCTCTCGTGGTCTTTCTCACAACGCAGATGATTGGCGGGTCCATCCTGAAAAGAAATATTAATAGTAGAATAAGTAAATGGAGAATAAAAACAGTTCAAGCCAGAATTTAAGATGATAATAAAGAAATTAGCTTTGTTAGAAAATACATAAGACAAATACACAACGTAAGCACTGATTATTATATAACTTTATGGATTTATTGCTAGTATTATTTCTGTGCTTTGGGTCGTAAGGTCTGCTTGCTTTCCACAAAATAATTACTTCAAACTTATCACGAAAATCCTTCCAAACCAAACATTGTTCACATTTCAAGTATGAAAGCAAATAGCATTCATAATTTCAGGGATAAAACCGGAAAATTTTCATATCTCATATCATTTATAGTTCGAGCATGAACACCGTATAGTATTATTCGTTTTATCAGGTATCAATTTAATCATATTTCACTAATACTAATATAACTTCTAACCTTAAAGTCTCCTTCACACAGGCCTTAAGGTACCGGAGTTCCTTTATATGGTGAGGACAGATGACTTGCTCGCCATTTCCCAGAACTCGGTCTAGTTCTTCTTGTAATTTTTCTTGCTTTTCTGGGTTCTGCGCGAGTCTCATCATGGCGTAGGCGGAGGAGAGGGAAGTCTGCGGGTCAGATGGGCAGGAATTTTTGGTATAGTTATGTGTTTTGTTGTTTATTCGATTTTTTTTTTTTTTATCAAGTGGATGTTTTTTTTCTTTACTGTTGTTTTGTTTTTATTTGTCTTTTTAGTTTTGTTTTTATTACGATTTTTCTCTTTAAGTTTGCTTCATGGTCCTGCCTTTTCTGTACTGGATCCATATTTACTTGTTAACCCATTCCCGCCGGGCATGCCATGCCATGGCCACTGTGAGATTACTTGTTGGATTGTTTTTACACATAGATGGCTACACTTACGAGTACCGCCAGTTACGAGTACCGCCTGTCTCGCCCGTTCACATTTTTCTTTAATTTACGAAATATTTTACGTTATCTTATTTTGCTGTTACTAATCTTAAAAAACATTATAAAAATTATAATGTTTATAATAAAAATAACACCATCGATATTCATGGCACTTGTGAAAAATACGTATTCAAATCAGGCGTTAACAGAGCCATCTATGGGCAGACTATTCACAAAAAAATATAGAAAATAGGCTCAGTATTTTCCCCATTTCTTGTTCATTTTCCCCGGCGGTAACAATCGGACACAAAAAAAGCCGAATAATCGTAAACAGAAACCGAACTGAAACAAAAGCCGAGCGACCGGAAGCCGAATGGAAACAAGGAGCCACACAGCGGAAACAAAAGCCGAACGAAAACAAAAGCCAAACGTAAACAAAAGCTGAACAAAAACAAAAGTCATCTAATGTAAACAAAAGACGAATGAATAGAAATAAGAAGCTACACAACGTAAACAAAAGCCTAACAAATGGAAACAAAGGCCGAACGGATGGAAATAAAAGTCGAACGGACGGAAACAAAAGCCGAACGGACAGAAACAAAAGCCGCCCAACGTAAACAAAAGCCGAACGAACGGAAACAAAAGCTGCCTGACGTAAACAAAAGCCGAACGGACGGAAGCAAAAGCCAAATGGACGGGAACAAAAGCCGAACGGACGGAAACAAAAGCCGAACGGACGGAAACAAAAGCAGAACGAATGGAAACAAAAGCAGAACGGACGAAAAAAAAGCCGCCCAACGTAAACAAAAGCAAAACGAACGGAAACAAAAGCAAAACGAACGGAAACAAAAGCAGAACGGACGGAAACAAAAGCAGAACGAACGGAAACAAAAGCAGAACGAACGAAAACAAAAGCCAAACGGACGGAAACAAAAGCCGCCCAACGTAAATAAAAGCTGAACGGGTGGAAACAAAAGCAGAACGAACGAAAACAAAAGCCGAACGGACGGAAACAAAAGCCAAACGGACGGAAACAAAAGCAGAACGAACGAAAACAAAAGCAGAACGAACGAAAACAAAAGCCAAACGGACGGAAACAAAAGCCGCCCAACGTAAATAAAAGCTGAACGGGTGGAAACAAAAGCAGAACGAACGAAAACAAAAGCCGAACGGACGGAAACAAAAGCCAAACGGACGGAAACAAAAGCCAAACGGACGGAAACAAAAGCAGAACGAACGAAAACAAAAGCCGAACGGACGGAAACAAAAGCCGCCCAACGTAAACAAAAGCAGAACGAACGGAAACAAAAGCCGAACGGACGGAAACAAAAGCCGCCCAACGTAAACAAAAGCAGAACGAACGGAAACAAAAGCCGAACGGACGGAAACAAAAGCCGCCCAACGTAAACAAAAGCAGAACGAACGGAAACAAAAGCCGAACGGACGGAAACAAAAGCCGCCCCAACGTAAACAAAAGCAGAACGAACGGGAACAAAAGCCGAACGGTCGGGAACAAAAGCCGAACGGACGGAAATAAAAGCAGAACGAACAGAAACAAAAGCCAAACGGACGGAAACAAAAGCCAAACGGACGTAAACAAAAGCCGAACGGACGGGAACAAAAGCCAAACGGACGGAAACAAAAGCCGAACGGACGGAAACAAAAGCCGCCCAACGTAAACAAAAGCAGAACGAACGGAAACAAAAGCCAAACGGACGTAAACAAAAGCCGAACGGACGGAAACAAAAGCCACCCAACGTAAGCAAAAGCAGAACGAACGGGAACAAAAGCCAAAC